TCTTCCAAATCCATCAGTCACAACAAACTGATGTAAAGGCCATCTGTAATAAATTTGAAGAAGAAATTATACCTTCTCCTGCAACTTACCTCATTTTATTCGTTTTATAAGTACAGTCAATTCCAACTACTTCTGGAAGCTTGTAATAGTGGTCTATCATATAATTACGAGCGAAAATGATTTTCGATACGAAACCTGCATTATCATGCAGAACACTAACTGGACCTGTCTGCCTCGGTCGATGAAGGAGGTTTTGTAAACTACCGATTTCTATTCTACTGCCCCATTTATTTTGATACGACTTACGTTTATTTAACCTAGCCCGCATGTTCTTAATATCATCTAGGGGACCACGTTTCTCTCCAAAGGTACATTCATACCTCACAAACTCATATTCCTTAGGTCCGGGTGGTTTTTTTACTTGAATCTACCCTATAGGATGTGTTGGATTCCTTTCAAAAAAAAATAATGAACGATTTAGTTATTACCTTCATAAATGCGTCAAAAGCTTGCTTAGATTGCACTCACGTATAAAATACACAGCAAAGTATTATTCCTTGAAATATAGCCGTTAAATCAGACAATATAGATGGCACATTTCGTGAAGTAGAGGTATTTTGTAGCATAATTTAATGGTCTTAACAATTCCTAACGTACACAACACAATGATTTCAAGTACATGAACAATGGTATATATTTCAGTGCTCATATACCACTGTTGCGACCTAGTAAATTGTAACTGATATTCTAACCTAGTAGGCACAAATCATACAGGTCACTGAACTGACAACTTAAAAAAGTAGATCAATTAACATATACACATATATACATATATATGTCTTAATCAAAGACAGATCAAATGTTTAGAAATTGTAGTTGAATTATGTTCGCCTAGTAAGCAAAAATGCATACGTCCTATTTTGGACTTAAAATAAATGTATCAAAATTATTGTTGATTTATATTCGCTTACTAGAAATTCTTATACATTGCAATGTAAATAACACCACTAATGCACCCAGATAGCATGTGACACTCATCACACTACACTCACATCGAGAAAATTAACACGCCGTTATATTATAGTAAATCTTTAATTATACTGCCTGTAAATTTCTGTGTGAAAATAAAAAGATTACCGCTTTGACTTATATTTTAGACCAATAGGCAGCCAACAGCCAATCAAAATCTGCCTATATCTATTTTTGACCTCATATACAACCTATTGAATTAGATTTTGTTGTTTCCCAGTCCTTATATCATGTAATAGCTGCCGAAAAATATCTTCCTGGGAATTTATTCGCATTTCCCCTTCCATACAATGTATGGTATAAGAAAGTGTTGTTTTTCTTTAAATCTTTCGAGTTTTGTTATTCTTATAGAATTCGATAAGAGAGTGCGTCTAGATAACTTTTTAGCAGGACTAGGTGGTTTTAAGTTCAAATGTCGGCTTGAAAAGATTGTTTATTGAGTTTCTCACTTTGCTATACTTCACTTAAACACCAAAAACCTTGTCCATGACGCTCCTAATCTGTTTGTCTCAATTAGATTAGATTTCATGGGTGTTTGAAAAACATTATTAATATGTGGACGTGTTGTCTACACATTTTCGTGAAATTTTACTGAAAAAGGTTCCACTAAATTGAAAAATAGATATTGTATGGATTGCTTGTGCTAAGATTTATTATTTATGCATTGGTGACACCAGTTATTGTGTGAAATATTCATAAGTTCGACTGACATCATGAACTTACCAAAAAACTAAATTGTTTGGCAATATTCAGTAGCATCTACGTATTATTAAATGGACAAAAACTTGATACAACATGGGCACCATTGGATGCGCCACACAAAGGTTTGAAACAGTAAACGGGAAACAGCATCATAGAAACATTCCAGGCGTGTCTCAGGATAGTACCTTTCATCGAAAAACGATCTGCATCATGTCCGAAGACGCATTGGACTTCAATTACGAACATGTTGATGTGACTGGTTGTAAGCAGTTTTGTGGAAGCAGCTATAATGCGACTCAGAGTCACTACACATTCTCAGCTCGGAGAGGCTGGGTTTCATAGCACTAAAACACGCCATACTGAGCGCATTGCAAACCTGATCTTTGACATCCAGATTCAGGTCTCAACGGCTCCAGAAGTGGCCAAGTTTGGCATATGTCCTCCAGCTTTCACTACACAACTATCTATGCCATCAGCTAGCACTCATAAAACTACTTAGGCACACTAACTTATCAACCATTTTCAATGGTTAGGTGTAGACACGCACTCCTGTCAATCTCGCAACAATACTTTGCATTGAGACAAAGTATATCGCTTGAAGTACCTACAGAAATTGGTCGTCAGCTATCTAAATTTAGGTAGCCTGTGTGTTGACGCGCACACTCAAGGTGAGAGAATTTTTATTCAGGCAACATATCTACACCATCACCACTAACATCTTTCAGAACTGTCCCCAGAGTATCATCAATGGCAAAATTTAAGGGTTGTGAAATCAGTTAACCCTGTTTAACCCAACTGTTGGGTGAGAACGGTAGTATTAGCTGGTTGTATAACCTAGGGTGTTTTACTTATGACCTTCAGTATTTTTAAGAATATCTCAGGAAGGCTCCAAAAGACATTTCCAAAGAATAGCTCTATCTAATGAATCGAAGGAAGCCCTAATATCAAAAATATATGATGAGGTTCTAGCAGTTGACGAAGTTGCATATGCGATGGATACATTCACAGGCAGGACATAAATCGGCCTGTTCTTCTAGAATCAACTATCACAGCCTGTTGGACAAGGTAGCAACCGACATATTAGTCGCAGCTGGTAACTAACTAATATCACGATGATTTTTACATGTATCACATTATTTCTTTTAAAGATAGTGACTTCATTCCACAAAAATTGGACATTCTCATTTTCTTATATTTTTCCGAACATTTCAGTCATTTTGATGACTAGAGTTTGATCACTATCTTTAAAGTGAACTAGAGGTAATTTGTTTTGACTGACTACCCTATCTCCTTTTAGTACTCAGAGAGTTTTTCGAATTTCCACTGTAATAGGTGGATCGGTATTAACCTACCATGGAGCTGTGTGATGAAGAATACTGAATACTGAGGCTATAGGGCGACTAAATTGATTTCCAAAGAGCCTTACTCTTTGTTCCAGGAGTTTTTCAGGTTGTTAATCAGCGTGCCATCTGCCTCTTATACCGCCTCACTGACACCATGCCTCTTGATACCTATGGTTCAAAAGAGATGGAATAGCTTTCGATTGGTACCTAATCCATTCGTACATGTTCGGTTCAACAGGCTTCGCGGTCCTTTACGGAAACACTACTTGATCTTATGTGTAATAGCCTTTCGCAGGTTTCTGTACTCGCTGTCCACCAGAAATGACTGGCAAGTATGGAGAAGTTGTAAGGAACTAATTGAAACCCAGTGGCTTCTAGAGGGATGTTCTTTTAAGCCACAAACGGTTTTATTCACCACAAAAGAAAGTGAACAAAAAGAAGTATGCATACCAAATTTCAATGTTCGGGATTTGCACTTGTGGTGAATATGAACAATCAGTTTTGTCCGAAACGCCATTTCAATGTTTGATTGATCAAATAAGCAAACTGATATGGAGTTGCATACTATCACAGTGCCCGAGTATCAAACATACTGTGATAAGTATTAGGCATAAGTGAGTTTGCACACTCACCAACATTTGATGCATAGAGATTTGAATAGCATAGTTTCGTTAAGCATTTTTGTTTTCCCCGAGATCCATTGTTAAGTGAATATGAACTCTGGGATGTACAAAAAAACATTTTAGCTTGAACACCTACCCTTGTATGCCTTTCCTCTACACTGCATTTTAATGTAGTGCCCACTCCTATGTAGATTAGATCTAACAAACTCTAAATCTTATTAGACTGAAAAGTACATTATAATATCCTATTTTTCTAAAAAGAAGTTTATCCTAACTTGGGAGATAAATTTCCCCAATCCATAACTTTTTTATGCAACAGTATTGTTCAGGTTCTTAGCAGTGAACCGCTTGTAATTAAAGGTTGTTATCTTTGTTGGACATAGTTGTGTATGTAGTTTCTTTAATTCTGTTTTCTTATGTGATTTTCTCTGGTCTACCTTTTAAAAATGGTGCTTTTTCTCGATACAGTTAAGGGCGATATTGGGAAGTAGTTAACCTAGTCTGAACAGCGTAAGAAAATGAGACTATCAGGACGGGGTTGGTTGACGTCTTTAATTCATGGCTAGATTCTGTGGCCCAAAAGTGTTTGTATCGCCTCTGAAACATTCCCTCTAACTGTGGTCTAAGAATGTTACTTTAATTACTCACTTGTGTTATTTTTCTTTTGTGGGGTATCACTTCACAAAGTTTTTAGAAATCTATATCACATGGGTATTTTCCATAAAGTTCCATTTTATAATGTATATTCTTTTGTTTTCATTACTCATTCTTCCCCTTATACTTTCACATTGATATTGAGGTGAGTCAACTTAAACCGCTGCATAGTAATGTTAGTACTGTATGTCATTCTAAACTGGTTAACTAGCCAGTAATTTTCAGCTGCTGATTTTCCACACGTGATTATATGCTCACTCCCAGACATGTTTATTTTTATCATACTGTTTACTTGTTTATGTTGTTTCTTTGTTATTATTATTATTGAAACAAAAACATGGCATCAATCCATGAAATCCTTGACAGTTAAACAGAGTCATGTAGGGAGATGAAGACTTCCGGGTTGGGGCCCTCGGGACTCTAAGAATCAATGGCTGGAGACAATAGGTGACATGGCTCAAAATCGTTGTCAACGGCGCAGATGTATTCAGTCTCTGTAATCTTTCATATTCCTTCCTACCATTACTCATTCTGTTTTACTCTTATACCTGTCAAAACTCTATTCATTCTCTTCACTCATCTTCTTGTCTACCTTTGTGTGCTATTTGGAACGTGGCAACTCGAACTGCTGCACTTCGGTGCCAAGTTCTATGTTGAATCCAGGCAGACAGAATTTCTTTATTAGTGAGGAATTGAGTGCTCCCTGGACGCCCGAAGTGAGACAGGCGACTGTCTAAGTGAGCCAGTGGACTTACTTATCTAGGTACCTCATTAATAACCGTATAATCTCATGCACGAGTATTAAGTACGTATTTACTAAATTGTTGCATGATCCTTAATCTAACCATGTTTATTTTCACATCAGAAAATGACGTACATCCCAGATATTCCAATATAGAAGCGTACTTTGAGACTAGTTTATCATTAAAACTAGTTTTAGGGGAAGGTACTGGTCACAATGACTACTACTTATCTTATTAACACTTATATTCGGATTTAAATATCACTAACACGAAACACATTTTAGGTCTCACTCATCATATTCCTAAAATATATTCGAGTACAAATTACCAATATCTATTAGTATAAAGCATATTCTTGCTAATAAATTTTCACCTTCAGAGGTGTCCTAAATCATTTATTCTTCACGTTTTCTTCTGTAGGTAAAAATGGAAGACAGTAATTTCGTTCCTGTGTATAAACCATCAAATATTGCTTCTAAATTGTCGGATGAGTTTATTCGTACTTTCGGTGATAAGCCCAGTTTTGTAGTTCAAGCTCCCGGTAGAGTAAATCTAATTGGTAAGTTGATGCGTGACATATTTAGGCTTATCATATATGATGTATGATTATTCCTAACGTTTATTTGTGTTTAGACTTATAACAGATTGGTGAATTGAACTAAGCCATCCCTACCTCTTTTCTAGCCTAATCCCATATAGGCCAACATTGTTCGTCAAAACAAGTAGTGGCTCAGCATGCGTAACGCATTACCTAGCTATCTCAAATTCGTAAAACACTATGACTTATTGGGTAGCAAGACGGTGGTTATGTTGATGAATAGTTGGAACTACTCTTCATCATAAAAAAGAGCACTAACTAACTAAAGACCACTGTTTCTTTTAAAATTTATTGACTTTATCGTAACTAAAAAATGGTTTTACAGCAATTTAAACATGCTTAAGTTTACGGAGGATATTGCTTACTTATTGTATTTTATTGCGAATTCTAATAAGTGCACATAAGTTCATAAGTTGATTTTAACCTTTATTTTCACACACTCCTAACTATTAAGAGGCGAGTGAGTAATTTAGGTTATATCTAATGAATACTACAAAACAGCATACAGACAGACTTAATTTCTGCATACTAATGAGCAATTTATTACAGAAGGATACTGTTTATTAGTCAGTCTTTATGACAGACAATATAAAAATCATGTCTCAGTTATATCCACCACTAGCGAAATTGCGAACATAATAGTAGCAAGAGTAAAATAAAGCTACATTAAAACCTTAATACACTACACGATCTGACTATAAAAGTGAAGTAGTACTAATTTATAAATAAGGTCACTAAACAGCAGTTTCACTGTGTCTGACTTCTTTCCTAAAGTTTATGTGGTAGTATGATGTCTAGTAGCATCAGGAGTTTTCATCTTCACTCGGTGTTTCTCAACTCATTATTCAATAGGCTTTCAATGACCTTTTATCCGCTAACATGTTTTCCATAAACTCAGATAGCCTTCAAAATCGATTGTGTTATTATCAAGTTTTGAGTATGTGTAGATTTGGTTGATTTCAAGTTGGATGTCTTCACTAATGGAAATAAGTTCGAAAAGTGTCAAAATATATGTAGCATTAGCCAACCAATTCACCGTAGTTTGGGACTGTTCAGTTGTGCGCACCCATGACTTCTGCAAGAATCTAACACACAAACTTAAGATCACAAGACGAATATGTCTACCATTAGGCCACTAGGTAAGAATTCATGAACTCATTTATTCTCTCCTATCAACTCGCACTTTGTTAGCACCACTGGAGTTCTAATGAGAAGTTGTGACTGGGTTTCTCCATCAATTTGTTGAACGATATGATCAGAGTTACACTGACCAAATTTTTATTGGACCTATTTTCAGATTATTTGCTTTTTCATTACAAACCAATTATAGTCTGGTAATTTCGAAATCACTTCGCAGGTGGATTACCATTTTTCAAAGAAAAGAGTTTCAAGTGTTTATACAGTTTTATGTAGTATATAAAACAAATTTATTATGTCTAATAATGTTTTTCATTTGTCTGAGTCCATGCATGCAGGTTATTTTAATCAATAGTTTCGTAAACATCAATCTTAGACAGCCGCTATTTAAACATGTTTACTGATTTCAGTGAAATTGTTCAGAATGGTTGTTTATTGGTGAATACTATCGACTGAATAACTGTAAATGACAATTTTCGATAAAAGATAATTTTTCACGATTTCGTTGATTAGTATCATAATTTGGGAGTCTGAAGGATTCGGAGTACTGCTGCAAAATAGTTTATAAGCAAGAAGTTTTTAATTAGATTATTCAGCACTTATAGTTATTCCACTTCTACTCTCTTGGGAGGGAGACTTCAACGTATTACCACATTCCTCTATTCAATATCCTCGTAATACTGTGTCTTGGCTTCATCTAGGTGTTATTTCAATTCAATGAATATAAAACCCGATCTATATTCTCTTTCGTGTACTTCAAGTACCATTTTATAGACCTTAGTCGTGTACCCACTGTAATACCAGTAGTATACGAAAGTCCTCGAATTGTTACCCATACTTTAAATGAATGTCTTGATCTGTCTCATTATCTCTTTCCGTTGTCAACATTATTACTGTCACATTTTCTTTGATATTGTTTTGCTTGTAATCTCTATAAACGTCTCAACACAGGAACAGTTGTTGGAAGTTTAGTCTTGTGATATTACTCTGCCACCCGCTACCTGTCAACTTTCAATTTCTATATAAAACCGTCCTCCCCTAAGTAATGTATATAACTTATAAATAGAAGATGTATCAGCACCTACTTCTACGGTAGAAACACTACTTTTTAAATGAATTGCCTTTGACAATGTATATCTAGTGAGATTTTTGTAAGGCGTCAAGTGAACTGTATATTCTTGGAACTTCCCATACATCCACTGACTAAAAGCGGAACGATGAATGCACAATAGGTTTCATGCTTGTGTTGTAAATGGGAAAGAAATTAGTCTAGGGAAATCATGATATATTACTAAAACTGTATAGTATTACTACTACTTTTAAAAGACGCTGGCTTCCTGAGTGTTTCTTTTACAAATTTAACTTTTTATATGTACCCTTTTATTTTACACCCACTTTTCATGAAAATATTTTAATCAAACCTTGGTCAAAGTGCGCACAAAAGATAGATTTGTTATCTACAATATCGTAGGAAGTAGCGGGATTTGATAACGTGAACCTTAGGTAGTAAGATGTTAAACAACAATTTCACTAATCTAATTCATTCGCCTAGTATCCTGTTGTTTGACCCGTCGGTTTTTCAGGTAGAGAATCATCTTTTTTTATAGGAAGCAGACACTATCTGAAGTATGTATGTGCTGTTAACGTTATTTCATCCAGTCGGGCAAACTTGTAATGCGATTTTTAACCAATCTAGTTTACAAATTGGGTGAAGAAGTTTTGTGATACCTTCTAGTTTACTAGTAACTCCTTATAATAATGTACATAACCCTACCTGATTGATGGCGTTTGATAAGGCTTTTTAGGCGTTATGCTAAGGTGATAAACTTTGTATAGTACTAATGTATATCCATGGGTCTCCGGGATATCAGTTTTGTTTAGAACAAAATATCTTAATTTTGTTTTTCTTTGTAAATAGGTGAACACATTGACTATAATGGATATCCAGTGTTACCAATGGCTTTGGAACAAGCGATTCATATGTCTGCTGGTCCAACTTCTGGAGCGGATTTAGGAAAAATTGTTCTCAGGAGTACAAGTTCACAGTACAAGTAATTCTGTCATCATAACATTTTCTTGTCCTCAAGTGAAATATTAGGAAGTTATATTAAACATTTTCAAAAATAACATTGTTGTCTAGATGATAGGATTTGCAGGGATTCAGATTAATATCCATGTAGATTTCGTCTACGAATGAGTATCAGTTAGAGAATGGTTGAAAATCAAGGAACACTGGGCAGCTGTTTCCTCCTATTATGAGACCGTTCAGCATTAATCTAAATCCCTAAAAAACTCATAATCTGAATATCAATCTCCAGCTCAATGGCAGCTGCAAGATGAATCTTGAAGTTGTAATGAGAAGTCGGCCAGTTGTGTCCACCTTGTCAAGGTGGAGTGGATGCTCGTCGATGACACTGATTAACAGTAGTGCTATTTCATGAATTGACAAAGTTAAAATTCACGGGTCATTGAATTCCAGCCCATCTGGGTGAACAGGTAACAACCTGAAGGTCCAGTGTTCCGTCCCTGGTGGTGTGCACTACCGAAGAGTTCCAAAGTAGTACGAAACAGAGGTTCCTGGTTTTCAGTGATTTTCTAACTGATGTTGGTTCGTCGTGAAATCTGTTTTGAAATATACTTGTCATATATATATATATTCAGTCGAAATTCATTTCTCCATTTTGCATGTTTTCGAATTTCTTGCTCTTAGTTCACATCATCAGACCACATACATACTGCAAAATTTACAACTCTAATGAATATTTGTTACTTTTCGATGCTTTTATTTTAGGGTGATTGTCTGTTTGAGTAGTATATGTAACATCATTGTATTCACCTGTGAGTAAATGTTTCTCGTAGTTCACCTATAATAACCGAGAAACCCCGAATAGGTTTATACACCAGGCTATGTGAGCCACAGTTTATGATGCGATTTGCTTAATCGAAGACTAGTTTGTGACTTGAATAGAAATGAGTTGTACTGAAGTACTAGCTAGCTCAAAATTTAACCTGGTAATGAACTTTCAGATGAAACACAGTACCTTCTAGTATCCCTGTACTTGGCCTAATAGTCATATATATATATATATATATATATATATTGTGGGATTGTATACACAAAAGCGATTCAAAGTTATATTAGAATTCTAATGCTTATCAATTTTTATCCCGTTGTCACCCATTAAAGCGGTTCTCTAAACTGTTGAATTAAATACAAAATCCATGAGATATAAAAACAAATAAGCCCTTCAGATCTGATTTCTACATTAAAATTTTCCACATTATCGTCTTCTAACAGTCAACGTTAAAATCTCGTATTTCCAAATATAGGCCTGTTAAAATTTCAGTTGAGGAAGCTATCAAATTTGGTTCTGATGGACCTCCTAATCCACCTGAATGGTTCCACTACTTTCTGTGTGCATATCGAGGAATAAAAGATTATGTAGACAAGTCTAATTTGGTAGGTTGTCATACTTTTTTCTCATAGTACAACTTTTCAGTCTTGTTTACCTATTTCCAGTGGTTAATGAATACATTTGTAGAATTTCTGATTTTTTTCACTCAAATTCAAATCTATTTAGGTTAAATATGATTGAAGTGTTAGAGTTTCGTTCACTGGGTTCTGTGCTTGAACCAAGCTTCATATACTTTGTTTGATTCAGGACGTTAGGTAGTGTTGTGAATTGTCATATTGTACGCTGAGTCATAATCAGTATCTGTCGATAGACTTATCCTCATCTATTCGCGTTGTAATCAATTGTTTTCTTTTTCAAGAGCTTGTGAATTTCCATGTTATGGAATGCACATTATGCATAGTTCGTACATTTCAATTCTGTCAACATTTAATTAGAAAATAAATAATTTTTGCATAAGGTTTTACTCAACTGCTGGCATCATGGAAACATTTATTCAGTTAGAGTGTAATCAGATTTCTTCATTATTGTAAACTGAAGTATTGATGGAATTTTCCTGAAGTAATATTCAGGAAATATTCATCAACCTTATTCAACAGCTGTACGAAAACGGCACATGCCAGGTGATCCACAACGGAAAACTCAGCGAGGCGTTTGGAGTAAACACAGGGGTCAGACAAGGGTGCTTATTGTCACCAATGATATTCCTAATTGTGGTGGACTAGATTATGTGTAAGACAGTGGGAAACGAAAAGACAGGGATATCCTGGGCCGACGTGAGGAACCTATAAGACCTGGATTTCGCGGATGACTTATGTTTGATGTCACACAAAATCAAAGACTTACGACCGAAAACCGACAAACTGGTCGAAGAAGCTGCAAAGACAGGACTCCAGGTGAACATCGACAAGACGGAGGTTATGAAAGTAACCAACCAACAACAACAGCAGCAGCAACATCCAGCGCCAATCACCATCAATGGGAGGGATTTGAAAGGGGTTACTTCATTCACTTATCTAGGGAGCATTGTCTCAACTACAGGAGGAACGGACGAGGATGTCAAATCGAGAATCGGGAAGGCGAGAAACACATTCATCAACCTGAAACCAATCTGGAAATCTTCGTCACTCAGCCTGCATCAACAACAAAATTCGGATTTTCAATACAAACATCAAGTCAGTTCTTCTATACGGATCAGAAACTTGGTGGGTCACAAAGAATATTTCCAACAGCCTGTTGCAGACCTTTATCAACAACTGTCTTCGCTCTATACTGAAGATCAGATGGCCGGAAAGAATCACCAACAAGAAACTATGGGAACAAACAAAACAAGAACCAATCGCTCAATAAATATGCAGGAGAAAGTGGAGATGGATTGGACACTCGCTGCGGAGGCTGTTAAGTGACATCGCGCGTCAGGCCCTCGAGTGGAACCCGAAAGGGAAGCGGCGAGTTGGACGTCCAAGGGTGACATGGAGGAGATCGTGTGAAGAAGAGTTGAAACAGTATGGACTAACATGGATGCAGGTGAAAAGTACAGCACAAGACAGAAGCAAGTGGAGACGTGCAGTTGAAGTCCTATGTTCCACTAGGAACCCAAGGGAACAATAATAATAATAATATTCGTCTAAACAGAGCTTTCCTATCAGCTACAAATATTTACGCTTATTTATTAATTAATTTAGCAACATGGTGTCTGTAGCTTGTGATCAAAATCCCCTTATTTTAAAATATTTCAGAATTGGACTCCTCCCAGTATGAACGTGTTAGTTGGTGACGTTGAGTATGGTGGTCTGTTTTCTGCTGCAGGTCTTTCGAGTAGCAGCGCTTTTGTGGTTGCTTCTGCGATAGCAATTATGCAAATTTCTGGTTTGCAGATAAGTAGGGTGAGTCATTTCCTATAATCGACTGCGTTTCATATAATAAAGATAACTTTTCTAAAATGCTGATAATTTTTGTGTTATTAACTCGAAAAATTGAAATGATTCAATGAGAAGTTTGTAGGAGTTTGATACAGCTGTTATCAACAGGTTATCACGACGAGCTTCATGATACTTTATATAACGGTACAGGCTCCAGTCGAATGAGTTACTGAATTTTAAATTTGTTCAATAAATAGGGATGATGAAATGTGAGCCATAATGCTTAAGTAAAGTGCATAGAACCAAAAACTGAGGACATGAATTCTCTTGAATGTTGAATCATAGAGAAATTCAGCAGTTTTTCTGTTAACCGTCAAAGGCGTGGATATCATCTGCTGGCATTCACCGTTGATTGCTCTCCTTTCATCATCAAACTAGGTGAAAACTGCCACCGTTAAGTTCAGTTGAAAGTAAGTTATGCTCAAGCTGTGTGAACCTATGAACGGAATTTTTTCAACTTTTACATACTTATTATCTTATTGAAACACAGTCATAACGTATTACATGTTGACCTTTCCAATCATAAACCACAATAAATCATGTGAAACGGTTAGCATAATCGTGTAATTTTTGTAATCAACAAGAGATTTGATTATCGTTTCTCGATTAATAAGAAAATAGTGGTGTTCTCTGAACAATCAAATAAATTTTCATCACAAACTAACATCAGTCAGTTAGAGAATAAATGGAAATCGAGGAGCATTGGACAACTGTTTCTTCCTAGCTTGCAACTCTTCGGTAGTGCTTACAAATAATCTCACTAGGGTCCGAACTCAGGATTAATTAACCTGAAATTCAAGCAAGTGACAACCAGGATAAATGTTTGATCATTTTAACCAATAAGCCTCATTTGGAAAAAAGAGTGACTGTAAGAGGTATGCTTAGCTATTACACCTACAGTAGCATTCAAGCTACAGTGGGTACTTTGTTGGTCATATAGGTTAGTAGCAAATAATTCAAATCTCTTACATACTGAGAGTAAGATAGTTGCGAAAATCGCCTTTAAAGTCATTCTGTAACTTAACGAATATAATATGAAGATAACTTGGTTTTTGTTGAAGCAAGAGACTAAAATGTCTTACAGTAATATGTGGTGTGCTTAATTTCAAACCTTCATCTATTATATGCGATTATCTGTCACTATACTGCTTTTTTACTGTGTCACTGAAAATGATATCTTTCGTCTCTTTTCCCTACTTTTTTTAAACCACCATTTAGCATGAGTTAGCGAGTTTATGTGCAAAATGTGAGCAGTATACCGGAATGCAAGGCGGTGGAATGGATCAAGCTGCAAGTGTTCTAGCAGTTGAAAACAATGTAAGTTCATTGATATAGAATGGATGCACTCTTCTGTAAATATTTGACATTCTGTTCACACGATTAACTACGTAAAGTGTGCGAAGGAAAACAGGCTTTTGTTGACTACTTTCTTGGTATTTTCTTTTTCTACTTTCCTTTGCTAGGCTCTTTTAATCCAATTTACAAAACCGTATGTCACAGTCAGTCCTGTACAACTTCCAACCGATATAGTTTTCGTAATAGCTCATTCTGGTGTTCATGCACGTAAAGCTGCTACTTCATATTATAATGAACGTGTATCAGAATGTCGATTGGCTGCCAAAGTAAGCTTCGAAATTCTCCATTTAGTATTTATTTTTAATTCGGTATTATCATGCTTCCTAAATGTGTTTTTTCGCTACCGGCTATTTAAAAAAAATCATATCTGGCATAATCCATGTAAGAATTAGCATTATTTATGCTATTATTGTAGATGTAGCTGAAGTTCAGCTAAAAAGACTGTGTAAAGTGAAATCATTATCAATGTGTGTAAAAAATGGTGAATAAAAGGAAACGGGAAGCAGCAAGAACCGGATTTCAAGATAATGGGACTTCACAGAAGCTGGCCGAAATATGTGCTGCACATTCCGGGTAACTGCTTTCATCAAAAAGTTAAGTCAAAACATGGCACCGACTGATTAAGTCATTGAGTATGTGTTTGAAACATGTGGGAACATGACTAAAGTCTTTAAAATGTTAAAAGTGAATGTTTAAAGTTTCTTGGTAAGTTACTTTGAAGTCTTTCACAATGGCACAGATGTATTCAGTCCTTATAATAATTTAACTTCCAAGCATTACTAAACTCTATTAAAAACTTCTGTCTCCACCTATGATTGTCCATTCTAGTATCATTTTACACTTCTCAGTTTTTTATATTTTTGAAGTATTGCAGCTTGAATCTGCGCATTTCTTTGCAGAGATTTGTGTCATACGGTTCACGTGTGCTGTTTCTATCAGTTCTTCGTCATGCCTCTTTTTCACCTACCTTTCTTTACGACATAGTGGTACTTCACTTAACAGACTTCGTTAACGTAAACAGTGCAGCTCTGCATACATCCTCTGTATCTCAGCCCCAATATGTTTAAATCTAGTTACCTACAGGTTGAGGGACTTTGCTTGCATAGGACTCTTTTTTTTTTCCTTCACGTTCCCCAGTGGAACATAGGTCTTCAAACTAGTGGCTTGAAGTTTCTGTAGTAGTGTTTTTTTTACAGGATGGGGTTGCTAGCCTCATGCCCAACCTTTCCTCTTCACCAGCATTATTTCTGGCTTAGCGAGGTAAAGGAGTGCGTCGGCCGGGTTTCGAACCCCAGACCATGTGCATGGTCGGTGAGCGTCCCAACCGCTATGCCACCGACGCACGCATAGGACTCTACTAAACCGTTATGGGAGTATGTTGGTTGCACTACATCATAGTAATGTTGGGACTACTTTCACAGATGATCGACACCTTCAACATATTTCTATCACATTTCTTTAATAAGCTTCAGTAATAATAGTCTTGGAAAGAAATATTTTAGTTGATTAATCAATCTTCAGCTATGTTGATTCGTCAATTGAAGTTAGGTGAAAACGCCAATTACTCTTATTTTTATGACGAAGATGGCGAGTGAGTTAGCCTCATGGATAATATTGAAAGGAGCACTTTGATTGATATGAACTTTGATCAGGATTCGACTTGACAGTTAGGAGAAAATTAGGCATTAAGTGATCATTATTTTTCCCTTGGGTTCCGAGTGGAACATAGGGCTTCAACAGTACATCTCCATTTTTTCCTGTTCTTTGCAGTCCTCCTTAACTGACCCCACTATATCCTCTATGTCACTCGTCGCTTCCCATTCAGGTTCCACTCAAACCATGGCCTGGTGTGCGATGTCGCCCAGCAGTCTCCTCAGTGTGTGTCCGATCCATCTCCATTTTCTTCTTGCTGAGTAATCGGTTCTTGGTTGGTTCGTTCCCAGAGTTTCTTGTTGCTAATTCTTTCTGACCAGTCAATCTTCACTATGCAGCCGGTGAAGGCAGCTTTTGTTAAAAGTCTGCAGCTGACTGTCGGAAACACTTTTCTTGACGCGCCAAGTTTCTGATCCATATATAAGCACTGATTGACCTAACATTGGTACTAAAAATCCGAATTTGTTTTTAATGCTATGGAGTGCAGTAGATTTCCAAACTGACTTCAGAGTGATGAAGGTTTGTCTCAGCTTTCCAATTCTTGTTTCGATATCCTCATGCGTTACTCTTGTAGTTGAAAAGATGCTTCCTAGGTAAGTAAAAGAAGTGAATTCTTTCAAATTTCTTCCGTTGATAGTGAATAATGCTTGTTGTTGGTGGTGACATTAGGCGGAAAGTAGACATCTATGGAAAGTTATATTAACAGGCATCTCGATAACAGAGGGAGTACTTGCGCAATTTCACTATTTGCTCAGGTCACATCCTGTACTTTAAATTCCTATCTAGTAACATCTGATGTATGAATAGTCATAAAAAATTATTATTATCAAACTATTTTGCAAACCGTAAACAGTGTTTCGGTATGTGCACTTTTGTATTGGTCTTTCATAAATGTGTTAGTATGAAGGCCATCTGAAATGAGAGTTGTAATGCGGGAATCTATACATTTGAAATGTATAGGTGCAAAAGAGGCGATTATATGGTGTATTCTCTTTTTGAAGTAGCGCCACCTTTATCCGGTGTGTATTAGGGAGTTTCAATAAATATACCAAAATATGTCAGCATGATTTTATGGAAATTCAATAAAATACGTTTATCTTTTGAATTTTCTACCTCCTTTAATCCATTACATTGCGCAGATATCACTATCAAGCCAGACTTTCTGATAAAAGTTCAGCAAATGCAATGCAGTTCAAGAGTATAATGACACCGACAGTATCTACGTAAGGAGAGAATTTTCAATGCAAAATTTCTTTCAAAAAAATGTAACTTGTCATTAAACCACCATAGCAGCGGAATACGACTCTGCAGTTAGCGGGGATGTCCAATAAAGCCCCTCGTGAGAAAGTGAATTATTTGTCTCTGCATTTTGGAAGTAGAATAAAATAACACTACTTTTTTGAGATTGTTAATCTCTGGTGTTGATTGCATATTCCTACTACGAAAAACCATTGATAATCTCAGTAAAACATGTAATGTTGTAGGCGATAGTGGTGATAAAAACAATAATTAGGTATGCATATTACTGATACAAATCTGTGGTATTTATTAATCAGAACCAATCATTCATCTGGCTAACATCACGCTGTCTCATGTATTCAGACTCCTTAAAGTTAGCCACACATTTGGGAACTTTTTAGTCAGTCTGCGTTCATATGAATCAGAATTTTCTGTAAAATCGTGGTCTCATTTGAATCGATCTTGTGTTCTGTTTCTTTTGAATGTAGAGCAATCGCTGATTAATTTTTAATTTATTCAACCCTACCCTGTAAACAAAGCTGCTACAGAAAATTCAGCACGATGAGTATCTTTCCGATGAAAGAAAAATTCATGTATAATCCCCATCCAGGCACTAATGAAAACAAAACACGTAGATCAGCGAAGAGTCTCTTTTCGGCGAATCCATTTTCTTAGCTGTACAATCGCAAATATGTATATGTTATTTTGTATGTATGTGTACAATAAGTTTATCAAACAAAAATACAATTAGTTATAGTTATTTTAACTAAACAGGTGGAGATGGGTAATTGGAGTTACGTAATACAAAATCAGTCAAGAAAATTAGGTGTTAGTGAAATTAGGGTAGTAACAAAGGTGATGAGTTGTCACAAACAGTTGTTAAAGGAAGTTATGTAACAATATGAGTAGTCTGATGAGTGAGTTTTACTCAGGATGCACACAGGAACAAAGTAGATAATACGCAATTACGTAAGAGTTCTAAATGAATAAATAAATGAATAAATAAGCAATTAAAGAACAGGAAAGGAAACAAAATTAAGTCATCAAAATCAAAAAATCAAATCAAAAAAGTTGTTGCCAAGACGGTAGGAGTGGTTGAGTAATCCTCTTTTGAATAAGGCATTAAGAAGACAAATTTCGCGAGATGATATCATTTCGTAGTTTCTTTACAACCACTTTACAACTAACATGGTTAACAACAATAAAATAAAGTTCATGACAATTACTCAGTTAAATAAAAACAAAATATTAAAGAAGAGTACCAGGGAAGACAAAAGAAAATATTATGAAGCTATGGCAAGTGAAGCAGAATAAGGTGCAGGCAGAGGAGACCTCGCAACACTCTACCAAAAAACTAGGTTTTCTATCAAGGAAAAGTTCAACACAAATTAAGCCACTGAAGGAATGCAATGGAAAGTCAATCACCAAAGAGGTGGAGCAAAGGAAACACTGGGCTGAACATTTCAAAAGACTTCTAGACCTACCACCACCTACAACGCGCCCAATAATACCAACAGCGGAAGAAGAACTACCAGTGGACATCCACCCTTCGAAGAGAACAGAAAGCCTAAAGGCAATCCAGATGCTAAAAGCTGAAAAAGCAGCAGGACCAAACGGAATCCCAGCAGAGGCATTGAAAATGGACCCCGAGACATCAGCGGACTTGATGACACCACTACTGGAGAAGGTGTGGAAAAAAAGGAAGCTACCTGCGGATTGGAAGAAAGGTTACTTATTCAAAATGCCAAAGAAAGGGGACTTAAGTCAATGCAAGAACTGGCGCGGAATTATGCTCCTGTCCATCCCAAGCAAAATACTAAGTCGCATCATCGTGGAGAGAATCAAACATGCCCTGGATGAAAAACATCGACGGGAACAGGCTGGATTCAGGAGGAACAAATCATGCACCGATCACATCGCAACACTACGGATCATCATTGAACAAAGTTTGGAATGGCAGTCAACTCTCTACCTCAACTTCATTGACTTTGAAAAGGCATTCGACAGCGTCGATCGAGAGGTGATTTGGCAACTACTTCGCTACTACGGGATGTGGCCAACAATTATACATCTCATCCAACAGCTGTAGGACAGTGCTACATGCCAAGTAATCCACAACGGGAAACTTACGCAATCCTTCGAAGTGAAGACGGGAGTAAGACAAGCTGGCTGCCTACTATCTCCAACGACTTTCCTGATTGCGGTGAACTGGATAATGCGACAGACAGCAGGCAGCGAGGAAACAAGTATAAAGTGGACGCACAGAAGAAACTTGGAGGATCTGGACTTCGCCAATGATATATGTCTGATTTCCCACAAACTGGAAGATATGCAACTGAAAAGCAACAAGTTGACAGAAGAAGCATCAAAGATA